ACATCATATGTGACTATAAGTCAGAAATCAAAAAAACAAATAAATTTATATGAAAAGATATTGACTGAGTTAAAGTTACATTTGTTTACAATTATTATGATATTTTGCATGAAAATATTAAAATAACAGTGATATATTTTCGGGAAGCGGTCTGTTCTAAATTAAACTGATTGTATAACTATTGTATTTGTATGAAGAAATATACATTTCTGCAGTTTTTTACGTAAAAAAGGCCTCTTCGTAAGAATAATTAATCAATGGAAATTATCAATACAAGTCATTATTAACAAAAAATAAATATGTTGAGTAGATAGTTATTTGATTTGAGATAGTTATTTGAAAGAAATGATAAATCGGGGAACTTTTTATTTTTATAAATTAATCATAATTTTCTCTAGAAAAAATTATGATTAAATAATTTCTGTTGAATCTTTGGCACAAAAACATTTCAAATTTATAATTTCAGTCTAATAATTATATAGTTAACATGTTCAATTTTTGTTAATGATGACATGTATTGATTGACTATTTCGATTCCAAATATCTCGAGAACTCTCATTAGTCGTAGCATTTTTATCAAGAGACATTTTTGACATAAAAAACGGCGTAAATGTATATTTTCTCACTCATACAGGCACGGACGAAAAGTTATTACTCTTCAAACAAGTTAAAAACTATGTAGAACTAACTACCAATTTTCATTCAAATATCGACATTCGTTCAGAAATTATTTGGAAAAAAATCAAAATAAAAATTAAACTTATACACCTTGTATCTCCGAAAAGAATTATTGAGGGCATAAATTAATAAAAACTCTTTTATTTACTTTTTCTGCAGAATATGCTGCCGAAGTTTCCCGAATACAATTCGGATTACGTTGTACAATATTCGAAACATATGGTCATTAACTTATTTAACATAACTTACGGTTTCGCTCAGTAATATTTTTTTTATTGTAATAAATGTTTTGATAGTTTGTATAGTTATTTCTGATTTTATTCAAGATAAACATATAGACATTTAGTGCTATTGATTACGTTATTTTAGCTATCTAGTGATAAAAGATTCTGTTTTTGTTTTTTTTACTAAACCTTTTTACAAAAATATTACAAAGTAAGTGGCGCCCGTTTTGTTGTCTTTGGTCATAGGTCTACGATTATTTAAAATCAACATTAATAAGATCGTTGCAGCCTACACGTTATAATTTTTTGTTTAACTTTTTAACAAATTTATTGAATCATAGAAAGCAAGAAGCCTTACCCAGGAACCGTCCCTCTAACCTTGGGCAACGGATACTTTTTTTTGGTAACAATAGAAATGTTGTTACACATAAATAGAAGAATAAATATTATGGCGCCCAACGTGGGGTTACATATATTTTTAGTATTGATTTGCGTAAAAGTTTTTGGTAACTTCCATTGTCCAATAATTTAAAATCAAGAACTCCTTCCAGTCTAATAAGTAGAGAACAGCTGTTGTCTAAAAGTACATGAATCATTGGTCGGTTCAAGATCACCATTTCTTGACCCAAGTCTTGGGTTTTAACCAATTGATCTATTGGTTTATCCTTGGTTGTTTGCGTTTTCTGGTTGTATAAAAATTGATAATAGTTAAATATCAGTTATTTACAGAACACTTTAGTTAATTAGCAATATACACATCTTTTAAGCCAATGATGTCCTGCTTTCTCCTAGAAATAAATATAAACTATTTGAAGTCTCAGTTAGGTTATAAAATTGGGAACAACAATTAATGGTCACAAAACCACCAACCTCAGATTTGCAGATGATACGGTACTTCCAGCGGGATACGAAGAAGAATTACTGCAGCTTCTAAAATTGGTTGAACACGAAAGCGAGAAACTTGGACTTGAAATGACTCCCTCCAAAACAAAAATTATGATTATCGACAGGCAAAACAACAACAAACCTGATGTAGTGAGCATTGGTCGTTTTTAGGTTGTCAGTAAATATACCAGGTGGTGCATCGTTGTTGGAAACAGAGAATCCCATGTAAATTTTGAACTGTCAAATATTGGCTCCCAAGTCGTAACTAGATTTTTTTAAGGTCTACGTTTGGTAAACGCACATGCTAAATTTGAACAATTTTGGACTAACCGATTTTGAGCAACTTAAGAAAAAATGAATCAATTTTTAAATTAAAATTGAATAGGTAACAACAAACACCAGTCAAAAACCGACATACCTTAAGTTGTCAGCGTCATTTTTAAAGTAACATAATTTTCATAAAATTTTAATATTCATTCTATTAGTATTTTAATATTCATAGTTTCCCCTCAATATAAAAATTAAATTACTTTTGATATTGACAAAGTCATAGTTTGTCAGTTTTTGACTGGTGTTTGATTGTTACCTGTTCGGTTTTAAGTTAAAAATAGATGCAATCTTTCTTAAACTACTCAAAATCGGCTGGTCCAAAATTGTTCAAATTTGGCATGTGTATTTACCATATATAAATCTTTAAAAAACATATTTACGACTTCGCCGTGAAATCAATAGGGGAGCCAATATTTGGCCAGATTAAAATTTGCATGGGATTTCCCATGTTTCCAACGACGATGCACCACCCGGTATATATCTTGAGTCACTTATAAACACCACAGAATCGTTAGAAGGAGAAATAAGAAGAAGATTTGAAATGACAAGAGTGACAGTTCGAAATCTCTCAAAGATATGGAGAGACAAAAACATATGATAACACTTAAAAAAAGGCTTCTTCGTTGCCTAATATTTCCTATATTAATATATGGCTCCGAGTCCTGGACGATGAGACAGTCAGAAATGAAAAAAGAATGGCGCAACTGAGATGTACTGTTGGCGACAAATGCTCAGAATTCCCTAGACTGCCCGGCGAACCAATGAATCCAAGAACTGAACATCACAGAACGTTTCTCAACTTTTATACAGTCACGTATACTTAAATATTTCGGTCACGTTATGAGGAGGGATGCTGACTGTATGGAAAGAGACTCATTATAAAGGGCAAGGTTTCAAGAAAAAGACGCTCGCCCTCCCGATGGATATACCAGATTTCAAAGCTCACCCACAAGCAACTGCGTAGGCTTGTACATGAAGCACAAGACAGGGAATTACGGAGACAAACTACGCACATCACCTGACCACTACATTCCTCTTGTAGGAATAAAGACAGACAGAGAGAGAGAGAGAGAGAGAGAGAGAGAGAGAGAGATTATAAAATAAAAAAAAATGATTAACTAGAACAGAATTACCCACACACTTCACAAAGTCACAAAATCGAAAGCGAGACGTAAACAAAGAGGAGATTCCCAACTGCTGTTAGCAAAAAGCTTACTGAACTGAATTCGAGCTTTAGCCGAATTTGCATTGATTTAATATTCAATGGTCCGTAATACCGAACGGAGGTGAAACGCCAGTTTGACAATTTACTGGGACGCCTTCTGAAAATAAAATTTTGCATTATTGATATTATTTATATTCCTATGGCGAAACCTCAACTCAATTTAACGGGAGTATGACCGGGTGATATATAGTAGGTTTTTGTTCTGTTAGGCAGATTACATTGTAATATATTTGAATAAAATCGTTTGTTGATAATAATATCAATATTGTTTGTTTTTATTTATTAGTTTAATTGTTATGACTGTTATTCGTTGAAATTTATTAGCATAATTTGATTAAAAAGTCATATTGGAATATGGTGAATATGTTATAGAAATTTAGTAATTACCAGTATTTGTTTGGATTTCGGCTATTAAAATATATATTTTTGATATATTACTAAATTTTAAAATCTCATTTTTAGTTTATTTAAGTTTCTTAAATCCTTTTTGTATTATTTGCAAAGTTTGAAATGCTTTAAAAATTATTTGTAAAGTGTGAAAAAAATAGCGTGTTCTATTCGGAATAAAAATGTACTTTTTGTGGCTTGGGTCAAACGTACAGGGTGGGTCAAATTGGATTTTCTATAGAAGATAGACGAAAACTAATATCGATGTTTGGAGCTCAATTTTTATCATAATTTTTATCTTTGTGGAAAAATAAAGGATCTTATTTTTAAATTACCCGTATAATCTAGACAAGAATTAGAAATACTTAGCGGTTACGCGAGGGTAACTTTTAGCTTCACTGAGTTAATGAATTCCGCGAGAAATGTTCAAAATCGGTCCCGTCTGTCCATAAGAGAAGACGGTTGACATGTCGAACACCTGTAGCAAAATCTCAGGTCTTAGTTTGCTATTTATTTTTATTATTATTAAATATAGTTTAAATTGTTATAAAATTCTGCATCTCTCATTGCAAATATTATTTTTGTTTTAATTGCTGCTCACAGCTAGATTTTTTTTGCATTACAGCCGGCGCCGTTCAAAGCCTACTCATTCAAAGTGGGCGAATTTTTAAAAACTTTATATCTCAAAGAGGAATCGAGCAAAATATCAAGTATGCTATATCTTTGGAAAGGCAATTTTAAATTCTTTTCAACAAATTAAAAATATAGAGGGTGTCCCATATAAAAAATCAAATTTTCTGTTGATAATTCTTAAATTGTTAATTTTAAAAAATATATACTTAAACCATTAAATTCTACATAAAAAAGTGCTTTGAAAATGTTTTCAGAAAAAAAAATTCCATAGAAAAAAAGTTACAGAGATTTATTAAAAATGCACATTTTCGAAAAGCACCCCGTAACTCCGCTACGATAACATATTATATATCGATGTGTGGTTTTCATCATCACGATTTGGATAAAAATTGAGCTACAGGGACCGATATTAGTTTTCGTCGATCTCCTATAGAAAAGGCTGTATCCCTTTAAAAGCGTCCAATTTGACCTACCCTGTACAGTCTCGCCGAAAAGTATACTTTTTGGTCCTAATAAACCAATATACTATTAGTTTCGTATTAATTTTGATTATTGTATAACAATATGTGCCTCATATACTATTGGATTATGCTTCCTATTGCTATATAATTTGCCTAAAGCGCTCTAAACAGACTTACCTTTCCACACTTCCCTGTCGAACCAGGTCAGGTTGTCCGCCTGGGTGTCGTAATAGCCCAGCACTACGTAGCTGCCATTTACCACCTGCTCTATTTGCGTGAGAGCGATACGGTCGCCCTGAGAGCTGAACGCCACGATGCCCTGGAACAGGTAGAAAGAGAGATAGCGTTGAAACACGGGCCAAAATGTACGTGCAGGAACAGGAGCTTGTTAGATGGGTGGCTTTAATTTGAATTAGGGAGATAAAGTTTATGCACTGCTTGAGATAATGCGTTTCTGAAAGGGGAAGTATTATTTTGAGTATTCCCACTGAAGACCTATACGTTTATAATTCTAGATAATACACATTTTGTCTGTATTTAGATAATCCATTACCCCGCCATATGCTATACAATATTATGTCTACAGTGTTAACCTTATATATTTTTCATCTTTAACATTCTGTAACATTTTTTAACATTCTGTTTCGATTTTTGGTCATGGAACGTTTATTACAAATCAAACTACACTCACCGGCACGAAAAACGGGTACCTTAAAATTTTCATGTATTTTGAAGTTTTATATCTTGTGTTCTAGTACACTGATTTTGATGATTTTTTAAGCAATTTGTAGTTAAATTATTTTATTTTTTAGTATTAGAATGAAAATTGCCATCTCTTAATTATACGAGGGTAAACAAAATGTGGATATTTTGGTGAAAGTTTGAAACACTCTGTGGAGTACATTAACAAAGCAAGGCATTTAAAAATAATTTTATCATCTAGGTGTATCTTTTCTCGATAGTTTGGTTTTTGTTTCATCTCAATAGTTCCAATTTTTTATGGAGATATTCGCTTTTGAAGAAGATACTAAAATGTTTTAGTATTTTTTATATTAGAACCATATCTTTGGTCTTGGTCCTAGTCAACAGACCTATAAAATACTGTTTGTGATTTATATAATGTCACTTTCTTTGAAAAATCATATTAATATTGTCTGTCGGGTTGTTACTCCAGCCAGAGATGGTTTTAATTCCAAAAGTTGATATCTACCATGATCAATTAAAGCAGCAATAGCCGATACTTTAGAACTTAAAATCATCTATACTAAAGTAAACGCCATTAAACAATAATAATATGAGTTTCCAAAAGCCAGTGACATTACAAAAATAATAAACACTTTTCTAGAACTGTGTTGATAAAATAAAATTGCTGTATATCGTTACTGTCTTATTCAGAAGCTAATAATATAATAATCTCTAATAAAAATAAGGCTATTCATATGAATCAAAAAATAAACTATCGAGAAAAGACGTACCTAGATGATAAAATTATTTCTAAATTCCTTATTTTATTAATATACTCCACAGGGTGTTTCAAACTTTCACTAAAATATTAACATTTTCTTTCTTTCGTATAGAATTATATATCTATATAAAATCTAATAATATCTTTCTTTCGTATAGAATTAAATATCTATATAAATATAGAATATATTCTAAAAAGCCAAATAATTGAGCTACATACTGCTTAAAAATCATCAAAATCGGCTCACTATAACGAAATATATTAAAGTTTAAAATACATCAAAATTTTAAGGTGCCCCTTTTTCGTGCCGGTATATTAGTACAGGATCTGGCTGCATGATTATTACATCATATTTTTAATCAAAACCTAATTTTTACTTATATTTATGAATTGGGGAATACACTTTTAACAGGGTGCCAATCAAAAAGTAACCGCAAATATGTGTAATTAATAATAATAATGATTGATTTTGGAGACGAAATTACGTTCATAAAATTTGTTCATTATTTATATACCAAATTAAAGCTATTTTTACTCTGTGCACAATAGTATAGGGTGCCTATGAAAAAGTTGTCGCAAATAGGGGTTCTTCTTCTTAAGGTGCCGTGCAGATTCCTGCGTAGGCGTTCATCTTTTTCTTCCTCATCAGATGGTTCTGTTAAATGCCGCGACTTGGAATGCTTGAAAGTCCTGTATGCCTGTCCAATGACGAATATTTCTCAGCCAGGATAGCTTCCTTCGTCCTATCCCCCTTTTGCCCCCCTCTATTTTACCCTGGAGAATCAGACGCTGAAAGTGATAGCGTTCTCCACGTAGTGTGTCCCAAATAGGCTATTTTCCTCTTTTTGATGATTTCGAAGAGTTCACGTTGTTCCAGACCAGCTCTTCTAAGAATGTCTTCATTCCTAACATGGTCGACCCAGGGCACTCTTAACATTCGTCGTAGGGTCCCCATTTCGAAGGCTTCAATTCGGTTTATTGTTGCTACCTTCAGTGTCCATGCTTCCACACCATATAACAAAACGGACCAGACATAGCACTTCACCATTCTGTATCTAAGGCCGAAGTTCAAATTCCTATCTGTGAGAAATCTTCGCAGTCTCAGAAAAGTAGATCTTGCTTGTTCGATCCTGCATTTGAAAATTGTGTGACCTGCTTGATGACCTCTCCATTTAAGTAAATTCTGGTGTTCGGAATATTGTTTCTGCTAACAGCCATAAATTTAGTTTTTGTAGTATTTATGTTTAAACCCAGTCTTTGACTTTCACTGTTAACCTTATTTAGAAGGATTTGGAAATCATTTGCATTGTCTGCCAATATCACTGTGTCATCCGCATATCGGATATTATTGATTGGAATGCCATTTCTTTTCAAACCAATGGGACTATCGGAGATTGACTCAGTGAATGCTCTTTCCACATATAAATTGAACAACATTGCAGACAGAATACACCCTTGCCTTACCCCCTTTTTTATTTCAAAATCTTCTGTTACTCCCACGCTATGTATACGAATTTCAGCTTTTTGGTTCCAATACAAATTACTGATGAGCCTTATATCTTTTCCATCAAGTCCCAAGTCTCTAGGCATGATATAAGGAGGTTATGTTTAACGTTATCGAACGCCTTTTCATAGTCTATAAAGCACATGAAGACATCTTTTTTCTGATCTTGGCAATTCTGTACTAAAGTTTGAAGACTGAATATGGCTTCTCTAGTACCAAAGCCGTTCTTAAATCCAAATTGACTTTCTCCACTTACTTCCTCACATTTTTTGTAGGGTCTTGTATGCAGTACCCGTAAAAAGAGCTTAAGAAAGTGGCTCATTAGACTAATAAGACGATTACACGAAGTTGCGTTACTTGACTTGGGCAGCGTGATAAACGTAGAACGAAGCCAGTCTTCAGGGCTGTGACCGGTGTCATAGATGTTATTGAAAAGCTGTACTATAGTTTTTAAGTTTTGTTCATTAATTAAGTGGAACGTTTCCGAATACATATCATCAGGCCCTGGGTTTTGTCGTTTTTCATTAATCTAATCGCATGAATAATTTCACTTTCAATATGCTTGGTCCTGATGGCATGGGAATCTCAGTTGCAGGGTTTTCTGATCTTTCGTCGTTGAAAAGATTAATGGTATAATTTCTCCAAGTTTGCAATAGTTCTTCTGTTTCCGTTATAATTTTATTTTCATCAGTTTTAATTAGGGTTATTGATTTATTATGGTGTAACCCAGCTATCTCTTTCACTTTCTTGTGAAGATGGAAACTGTCTCCAAGGTGACATAAAAAATGACATAATTTTCGGCCTCTATACATCTCTCCTTCAACCCTGTCTCTTTTGCCGTTTTTATTTTATTACGAATTTTTCTTTGCATAGATTTATATTCGTTGTGATTATACTGGATTTTAAATTGTCTTCGTTGTTCCATCATTTTTAAGATATCTTCACTCATCCACCCGTTTTTCGCTGTTGTTCGATTAGCCGTGAGGAGGTTTTCATTTGTGTTCTTGAAAGCTTGCTTAATGCCCAGCCAATGTTTCTCAATGTCATTTGTACTGACAATACTTTCCAATTCTCTATTTATATGGTTTTCATACATTGATCTTGTCTGCGGGTCTCTGAGAAGTTTTGGATCCAAGTTCTTTCTCAAGCTTTTTCGTTTAGGTTTGGCAAAACGCAATAGGATGTTGGCACGTAATGGATTATGGGCCGATTCAATATCGGCACCTGGCATTGTAGTTACTTTTGTGATCAGGTTTTTAAATCTATTATTAATTAGTATATAATCTATTTGATTACGAACAATACGGTAATCATTGTCTTGTGGAGACTTCCAGGTATAAAGTCGTCTAGATGGGAGTTTGTACCATGTATTTGTGATTGTAAGATTATTAAATTAAATAGGGGTTATCACGGTTCAAAGTCGTTCCTAATACTTTAAACAGACCCGGAAAAATTATAGTAAAATTAAAAATGTAACGATACAGGCTAGGTTTTAATAAATATAATATTAGTAACACTAAAAGAACTAAGGATATTAAAAAGAAATAACTGTATAAACAAACAAAAAACTTAACTCCCCTGGTTGCTATAACACTCTGTAGATGACAGTTCATAATGTTAATGAGGCTGCAAATGTATTGTGTTATGTTTTCCCATTTCTTCAAGGCCCAAGAAAACATTCATAATTTCGACCATCTTCAACAAGATCAATGACTTTTGCATAATTTTTGACACTAAGAACCATATTCAATCGTACACAAAAATAATCACCAATGCCACTTCGTCATTGTGAAGAATAACATCAAAAAGTAACGATAATGAAAAAATATGTTATTTGTGGCAAGTTCATTATGCTTTTAAAAATTAACCAAGGCACGTGTTGACAGGAGTCAGAAAACAAATTATTCAGGAGACATTGTTCTGACCGAAAAATAATGTTTTAGGAAAATTTGCTCACGAAATTATGGCACAGGGTGTTTTAAAGATAGAGTAAAAAACAACTCTTCGAATAACCCGAAGTCCGAAATTTTTTTATTGTTAATACTGATATATTTATATACAGCTTATATTGATATAGATTATAGCTTTATATTGATATGTATTTATATAATAAAATAAATCATATTTTCTTGCCTTTACCTGTGTATTTTTTCTAATTTCGAAAAATCGAAAGTAGAGAAAAAAATAAAAAGTAAAGAGAAAATTGTCTTGCTTGTCGTAAAGGGGGGAACCAAGCTCCACTCCCTCAACCGACTTCTGGGCCTACCCTTCATCAGGAGGGCTGTCCAGAGGCTGGTTCTCACCGATATGGCAAGCAAAACTTTTTCAATATCAACAGACGATGTCGTAA